AAATGTTTGCAAAATATCTTTTAAAGCAGTTTTACGAGTGCTAAGCTTTTCAATATCAAGTAAATTGTCATTAAATTTTAACCAATTTATAATTCTTGTAAGACGGCCTTTGCAATGACCTTTTTTGCGTATAAGTGTGTCCATTTTTACTAAAATACTTGCTAATAACTATCAAAAGTTAACTTATTAACAAAAATTTGAAAATATAAAATAATATAATAAGAAAAATTTATATTATTAAGTTTTAACTAGAAAATAGCGACACTTTATTTTAATTGTTTTTTGAAAGAAACACTTTGGTATAAAAACAAATTGGTATAGTACCTAATTGAGTCTCGAATTGAGTCTTTGCTGCAAGAACGTAGCACTCGTAGGTATTGCGCAAGTAAAGTTCAAAGTAAAATTGGAATTTTCTCACCCAATTTTCCAGCTCTTCGAAGATTTCCAAACTGTACGATGAAGATTTCCAATGTGGAGGTTCAAATCCGGATCGAAGCTGACCATTAAATGTTGTGGTTTCCAACCTTTATTTATTTTTCAAGTGTAGAATCTGTGGTAGAATGCTGCCAATGCCGTGCTAATTCTTGTTCGTAAATCCAGGGTCAAGGATACACGATGGTTTGATTATGAAAAGTGTTTTTATTTTAATTTGAACGAAAAACGACTATTTACAACTATTTACAGAAAACAGGTAACAAATTCTGAAGAACATTGCATATTTAAATAAGTATATGGAACGTTCACTTTAACGCAAATAAATGGTTGATTACCAGCAATCAAACAATATTGAGACAGTAACTACTTCAAGAAGATGAAGATGTCTTAATCTTAGAATTTCTGAAACCAATGAATGCACCATGGATCAACTTGGCAAGATAATAAGGAAAAAAATACTTGAGCCAGCAGAAGTACTTAACTACCGATTAGTTTTAATTCAGAAAACAAATGGAAAACTTAGGATATGACAATGTGTTGGTTTTATTGAGCATAGCCAATGTGTTGAGAGACCTGTGAATCTATTTGTGATCTCAGCTACAAATCCAAATATGTTCTATCGACAGATACTGGCAACTTCACCTGGATGCGACCCTATTACCGAGAGAGTTGATATACCAATAAATTGAATCGCGGAACTGAATATAAGAAGGCGAAAGAAATAATTGAAAGGAGTTACTAGAATTCCGAAAATTACTAGTGAAAAAACAAAATTGACTAAGTAATCAACAAAAATATGGAAGTTAGAAAACCGTAGGTACCCACAGTGCAATCGATCAGCTAGAATTGAAGTGAACAGTCCAACTGCTCAAAGTAACAAATAAATATGGATGGGTGTGTATAGAAATTATTTTAGTTAACCAAAAAAAAAAGTGATTTTTCTAATCAAGTTTTTACAATTAAGAATGTTGACTGGAAAATCGCAACATTAAAATTTCTTAGTAATTTATACAAGAAATTGAAAGGCCTGTGTGAAAATCAATAAACCGTAATCAAGTGACTCTATACACTTTGGTGAAATTTATGGTGTAGCAATTATTTAAGTTCACGAAGAAGCTCATGTCAAGTTTTGTTGCGGAAATAACCCACAACAAGTTTAAAATTTTATTATTTCTAATTTAATATAATCTCAATTTCTATTATTTATCATAAAAACAATATTCTAAAAATAGATGCCTGTAAAACCGGCAACAACAACCCTTTGAACCGGTAAAATTACAGGTTTCTTCATTACCCTATGAGACTGGATCTATTTCGTTGTTGTGATTGGTCAGTCGCCACACAACATCCCTAGATTTTTGCGACCTGCTCCGAAAAAGGTACCTAGTCGACGCGACGCACAACAAGAAGTAATAGAATAAGCGAAGACTTCGCACCCTCGCGCCTCTGAACGCTCTCCAGAGGCAAAAACCCCCAAAAAACCCCCGTTAGTACGCGATTTATAGTAAAATACTACTCTCAGTGTCTCAAGGCCTGACATGGTCTATATTATTGATTACAATTCATATAATTAATCCCTAATTTTTTGCAAGTCACTTCGGACGAGCAAAATTCTCTCCTAACCTGTTTAAGGTTATCTCTCTCTCTCACTCTCGACGGGCTCCAACTCACCTGTATATCATTGTGTTCTCTCTCTCAGTCGAAAATCCCTTAAGGCCATCCCAGACAAACCTGCATAATTGCATAGCATAGGCGCATAAGGAATTCGACCAATCCCAAGCTGAATAGGAGCAGCCATATTGCTTTTGCATAAGATTTTCCATAAAAATGAAAAACTTATGGAGCTGTGCTATGCGCGACCAATCAAAATACATCGCTGCAAGTCACGTGATTTTTGACTTTGACATGACATGATTATATTTAATAATATTTATGTTTTTGTTATGGAAACAATTAAACTAACGAAACCTCAAGTGCCTAATTCACAGTGAAAAAATTAAAAAATCAAAATTTGCAATCAAATAAACACAAACGGAACAAGCAAAAACAACTCATCTCTTAACCTACAAAATAAATGTTGATGGATGACAAGATTGCATTAATTTGATTGGTTGAACGCCCTATGGTTTAGGTTTTGTGTGTTTTGTCTGGTTTTGCATAGACCATTACGTATGGTTATGCGCCATGCTATGCGTTATGCAAAGTTGTCTGGGATGGCCTTTAGCTGTCAGTGTGAATTACTACGAATAGTGATAAATGGATAAATAATCGCCTTATGGATTTATTTGTATGAACTGGATTAAGCATGTTAGACCGTTACAATTTCTCTAAACAGTCGAACAATAAGTTAATAAATAGTGATTAGTGATTCGCTTGAAATGCACTATAAATTGAAGTGTTTTTCTAACCTTTAATTGGTTTTCACACTCGTGAAATTAACATTTGTACATTTGTATATAGAAACTGAGCATATACAGTGACCGCCAAAAAGTTTGCAACAAATGGGAAAATATTTTATTATTAAAATATCAAAAAGAATGTTACGTGGGATCAATTCAGCATACCTATCAACAAAAAAAAGCACTGTGACAGATGTCATGTGACCACAGTTATGGCGGGAAATTTAAAAAGTTCGCCTCAAATATGTAAAAAGTGGGGTTAGATGACCAGATATCGAAAAATTGTAGAGAGAAAAGTGGTTCATAATTCGATTTTACATCTATGTGTGAATTTTTGAAAAGGTACAAGGATTTTCAATAAATATCAATTTTTTGGTCTGTTTTCTGGTAATTTGGAGAATATTAAAAACTTTTCGGAAAAATATTGGTTTAATTGAATTTAGAAAAGAGGTATTGGATCATTTAGAAAGATTTTATGATAATTCCAAATTTGTTATTTCAAATTTTTGCTTTCTGTAGGTCATTGCAACAAGATCAGAGTGGTCTGAAAATGAATTTTTGGGTTTTTACAATTTTCCGCGGGACAATTGAGCAGAATGACTGCACTGGATTTTTTTTTGGTTAGTTTCACTTTGAATTATGTGAACCAAGCGAAAAGTTTTTGATATTTTTCAAATTACCAGAAAACAGGCCAAAAAATTGATATTTATTAAAAATCCTTGTACCTTTTTAAAAATTCACACATAGACGTAAAATCCAATCCTGAACCACTTTTCTCTCTGCAATTTTTCGATTTCTGGTCATCTAACCCCACTTTTTACATACTTAAAGCGAACTTTTTAAATTTGCCGCCATAACTGTGGTCACATGACATCTGTCACAGTGCTTTTTTTTGTTAATGGGTATGCTGAATCGATCCCACGTAACATTCTCTTTGATATCTTAATAATAAAATATTTTCCCATTTGTTGCAAACTTTTTGGCGGTCACTGTATATAAAGACTTTTCTTGCACATATTGTTTACAGATAGTGTAGTCAATCTAGTCTAAGACTTCAGCACAAAAGTGCTCAAATTATTAACTCTTAATAAACAAAAGAACTTTCAAGGATCAATAAACATTTTGTGACTACAGTGAGCTGATTGAAGTTTACGAATTATTTATGTTGTGCTCTCGTGGATTTAATTAGTTAATTTTTGTTCTCGATCATTGAACATTTAACCATAAATGATATTATTATCATTATCAAATTTCACTACTTTTTATAAATCAGGATACTTTACTTTAGAAAACTTTGCTTTAGATTAGTATAAAATTTGTAGTTCGACTGGACGTCCAATTAGGAATTATTAGATAGGATTTGATTGCTGACTATACCGAATTACTTTCATTTATTAATTAAATTGATAACTATTCTATTTCAGCGTTTTATTTGTATAAATGAGAATCAAAGCACCCCTAACCCAATACAAGGCTTAAATGATCCAACACCTAATGGTTAATTTTTACAATCAGTCAAAGTAAAAACTTTTGGCACCCCTGGTGCAGTTTAACTATAAGGCCCAAAAAGGGGCAATAGCTATTTTCGTCACAAGTTTTATCGAAATCATAATATGGCAAATAATTTGTATAAATATATCTAATAAAATATGCAAAATATCTTCCATAACTTTAATTAAAAACCGTTGAGAACAACAATCATAAATAAACACTTAAGTATAATCTTCTTTGGCAAATACCATTAAGTATAATGAAATCCCTTCTAACGCAAATCGTATTCTAGCGTCAGAAAGAATACAAAATAATGAACATGCAATTGCAATTTTTAGTGACTTTAGGGCAAATATTTTTGTTCATGCCCATAAGAAATGAAAGAGAAATAAAATTCAAGTGGTTGTCTTGTAAGAGTGTCGCCTCAGTGCTACTTACCCTAGTTATATTAATCGAACTTATTATGTTTCTGATGTATTTTATGAAACAAGATAACAAAATTGATTTAATATGTAAGTAACTATGAAATTATTCTGTGTTTGTCTCATGCATCCATCCCTAAATTTTGCAATATGAATCCTAATTTATGATTTATGATAAATTACAATTAGTTTTATCGGCTTAAAGGAAACTCATTATTGTTAGGCATGATGTTTTGCAATAAGTATCTAGATTATATATATAAGTATTTATATTATCATTATGAACATTCGATAAAAGTCTCAATAATGCAGCACAGCACGCCACATAAATTGAATTTTCTTACAAATTCAGCCCAATGATTTTTATTAATGCCCTTAATCAAATGGAATAAGGGATGTACAAAATTTAGCTGGCATTCATGGAAAACCGTACCAATTTTAATTGTTACTTTATTTTCTTTAGCAAAAGACTTTGATAATGTTTATAGATATAGCGAGAAAATGGCCAAATTTGATGAGAAAATGGGACGACTTGGATTTACTCATGAAAAATTATCCAATAGCTGAAAATTATTTATTTAAAATGAAAATGGTAGCTGTAGTATTGTTTATTTTATCTTTGAGTAATTTTTAATTTTTTTAAATGTTTTTTTTTTATGAATAATCCTTTTTAGGCGAACACATATTTTTTACAGCAACCTTGGAAGTTTTCAGGCACGGCTTACCTTTTACCGAAGAGTTAAGTTTATACTTCAATACAATTTTTAAATTTGTTTTCATGGTGTTGCCTTATAACATTTATTTAGGATTATTCCTTCAAATATTGAATTGGTTATGGACAATTGTGTGGAATTACGTGGATGTTTTTCTAATATCTCTGTTTATTTCTTTTGCCTTTAGGCAAAAGCAAATTGAGAAAAGGGTGGCTACGTTAATTCATAATAGAGTAATAATTTGTCAGTATGTACTTCATTTTCATACGTATAAAAAATATTTTGCAGATCCAAGGGGAAATTCACTGGAAAGAAACCAGAGAACATTTCGTTAAGCTCACAGACCTTTGTAACGAATTGGAAAATTGTATTTCTCCTTTAGTCCTGGTGTCTTTTGCTAATAAACTGTTTGTCGTACTTTATCAGCTCATGTGCATTTTAAGGTATATTTCACTCAGGTATTTTAATTTATTTTTTATTGTTTTTTTTTTAGTGGTGAACTGGCTTCTAATGAAAATAATAGCACAAATATCATACTAAATCGACTATACTATACTTTTTCTTTTGTTTATATTTTGTTGAGATTGGCGGGAGTTATTTTCTTTGCATCAGTAATTGATGTTAAAAATCAAGAGATTGTTTGCAATTTGTTCAGTGTGTCTAGTGAAATGTACAATACAGAGGTAAAAAATGATATAAATTACTGATGTGTGCCTAACTAAATATATTGCCATTTTTATTCGAACAAACTTTATGTTTTAGATTGAGAGATTTATAACGAGTATACAAGTCTCGCCGCCTATTATAAGCGGTGCAAAGTTATTTGAAATTAAAAAGTCTTTACTTTTAAAGGTAAATTGTGTATTTTCAATTTGAATAGGTATGTATTTTGTTCTTTGATTTTTCAGATAGCATCATCGATTATAGTTTATGAATTGGTTATAATGAAGTTTAAAAGTTACTAGATATAGATAAAAAAGTTAATGTGTAAATTACAAACAGAAAAATAAATAAACTATCTGAAATTCGAATTTATTCGAACCTGCTCTTTGGAAAAGAATCCTCATAACCCCGTTTAAAGAACTGTAAGTTGAAGCACAGAATATGTTTGGAAAAAGTTTTAAAACCTGTACAAGAAAGCAAAACAAATATGAAATGCTGTCCGAAGTCATAATAATATTAAAACAAAAACAAAAAATAGTAGGTACCTAGTGAATTCCTATTTTATCCTTTATTGAGTGACACGGTACCTTGGAGACTTTCAATGAAAAGAATTAGACTATCCAAGATGCTGTCAAACTTAAAATAAAATCAGGAAATCAAACAAAAACGTATTTCGAGCAAAAATTCTTTAATATGTTAGCAGAGCGCTTTCGACCTTCCGGCCATCATCAGTGCTGACTGAAAGAGAGGACAACAATAGTTTAACAACCCTTAAAAATAAAAGGAGTTGTACTCACTTGTCAATCAAAAAACACACAAGACCCAATGGTGGTAACATATCGGTCACATGAACAAGTGTCAAATGTCAGCTATATAAAAAATTAAATAAAATTTAGCCCCAACAAAATGAAAAGGGGGGTACAACAGATTAAAAATATACTTACAAATATTACAAAAAGACTGTTGAAACAATTGAAATTTCCTAACCTGATCGGAATGGCCTAGATCGTTTTTCTACGTCATAATCAACAAATATTCAGGACAAAACGAACAAATCTAAAAATTCAAATTACTAAACGTTAAAAAGCAATGAAAAAAGCCAAAATGTGAGAAATTACCATCAAATAAGTACTTATTAGTTTAAAAAGATGGATCGGATGTTCCAGGATCACATTTTTATGTTATTTCAGCTGATAAAAATGTGATCCTGGAACATCCGATCTATCTTTTTAAACTAATAAGTACTTATTTGATGGTAATTTCTCACATTTTGGCTTTTTTCATTGCTTTTTAACGTTTAGTAATTTGAATTTTTAGATTTGTTCGTTTTGTCCTGAATATTTGTTGATTATGACGTAGAAAAACGATCTAGGCCATTCCGATCAGGTTAGGAAATTTCAATTGTTTCAACAGTCTTTTTGTAATATTTGTAAGTATATTTTTAATCTGTTGTACCCCCCTTTTCATTTTGTTGGGGCTAAATTTTATTTAATTTTTTATATAGCTGACATTTGACACTTGTTCATGTGACCGATATGTTACCACCATTGGGTCTTGTGTGTTTTTTGATTGACAAGTTAGAAATGTAAGTCTTATGAGAGGCGTCAGTCTAGTCGTTTCAGCTTTCCCCTCCAATCACTAGAGGCGCTTCAATCAACCTATTAAAGTTTTCTTTTTCCTGCCGGACCGTGCGCCAAGATTTGAAGTTTATTTTGTCATTTTCAGTCGTCAAAATTTAAATTTTGAACTTCTCCCAACATTTAGAATTATCAATTACCTATCAATTATCAATAATTATTATCTCAAAATGTCTTCTCCCAGTTTGTTAATTGAAAAGCATCAGAAATGCTGTGTTCCGGGGTGCGGCGACAAATACAGCAGCTATTTCCGGTTTCCAAAAGATGCCGAAAAAATGAAACAATGGCTAATAAAAGTTCGCAATCCTTTACTAAATAGCCTCAGTGTCGAGAAGGCTTATAATAATTATAGAGTGTGAACAAGACATTTTCCTCGAGAATTTATTGTTGGCGATCCAAAAGCCAGACGAGGACTCACATGGAATGCTGCGCTTTTGCTGTATCTCCCTGAAGGTAAGTTAATACTAGATATATGTGAGAAAGACGTACTTACATTTTCACTTACTCCTCCCCATAGTTCTGATTAACGACAACGTGTTAGAATTCGGGTTTAAAGGAGCATAGGTCAGAAACATTAAAATTAATTTTAATTTTAGCCCCAATTATCAAAAACAGTGAGGAGTCGTTAATTGATAAACCACAATCACCAAAATGGCAAAAAGTGGAGATCGACACAGTTGAAACTCGTCGAAGAGTCCTAAGACGCCTTCAGAAATTAGTTTCGCAACTATGATTGACATAGGTAGGTAAACATAATAACTCTGTTCCAACACGTCAAAAAATCGTCTCATGAACGGTTTCGAAACCACTCAGTATAACAATTTTAGTTTCTGCGCAGAATCGTGACGGTACATTGTACGGTTTTCTGCTGTGTTGGAACAAAGCTAATATTATTCATTTCTTTTTTTTTAAATGTTTATTCCTTTATCAGGAGACACAATAATTAAAATATTCCTGGTTACATACAGGTACACCATATTCTACAATGCGTGTATCCAAACTTTTTTGGTAGAATCATTGGTAACGAAATTTCTGTTTTAGATCAACCAGGCCCTTCATGTCGTCAATTTTTATCTACTGAAACTTCTGCAATTCGGGCAAACTTTTATTGGTAGGTACCTAAGTGTTATTGCTTAATGAATAACCACCCAATTGGGAGTAGGTGAATTTTAAAACATCCTAACTGAAGTAGGACTACTACTATAAAAGACTACTAATTACTAAAACTTGCAGTCGAATGCTAGAAAAATTAGAAGCTAAATGTGCGAAAAACTCGTCTCCAATCTTGATCTATTTTTTTTTGCAGGTCATGAGAGACGATGCCAAATTTTAAAGAACATTAACGTCACTAGGCAAAAATTCCTATCCCCAAGGGAAAAATATCTTTATTCCAAAGTTATAGAATCCAGCAATAAGTTAAGAAGAATCAGTAGAAGGTTGTCGTCATTTAAATCCAAAGTTTCTGCTGCTGAATAACTTGCATCATAAACCAAATTTCAAAGGCTCGTAGACCACGTCAATCCATTGATATACAGCTTTATTTTAAGCCAAGCCCGTACTCAAAACCAAAAGCCTAAAGCTAGACGATTTACATTGGACGAGAAGTTGTTGGCGTTGTCTTTGCTTAAAGCTAGTGGTAAAGGGTATAGACTATTATCAAAAATATTTATTCTATCATTCAGGCGAAATCAGTTTCTTGAATGAGCTTTATATTATGTATAACTACATAAACTTTCTACCTAACACATGCGGAAAGTGTATTTTCTGGACTTAAAGGCTTACCCGAACTCTGGTTTTTGTTGTCATTCGTGCAACTTCCATCATGTGCAGAAACACTTTCCTCACTTGGTAGGTTAACAACGATTTGGGATTGTGAGAAAAGGACCTCTTTTGTCATTTTATTTACGATTTAAGTTTTTCATCAAACTATTGTTGAATGTACGTCATTACTTCTTGTAACTGTCCTTATTATCTTTATACTAGCATTACCTACCTATGTACATATGTATAAAATAAGAAAATATTTTGTTTGATTTTCCATGCTTTTCCATCCATAGACGTGTTTCGACCTATCAGGTCTCATCAGTATGGCTAGAAAAAGCAAAGAAAACCAAACCAAGTTTCGTGCCTGTGGTGTTGAAGTTTAGTCTTAGATGGCGCCACGATCAAATTTCGACCGTTGTACTATGTATGTATACTTACATGAAAAAAAACTGTTTCGCAATAATTGTAATTAATTCCATATTCTATTATATTTTCTGTTTCAAACTTTAATAAATATCTAAATTTGTCATCTTAATTCTTAGTCAATTTTACCTTGAAGGCGCTTCAACACTACCGATTTTATGAGTTTCTTCTTTTTGGCACAATTATTTTATGCCAAAAAATGGTAGAAACTTTAAAGTGGTGGTGTTGACTCGCTAGAATCAAACAATGGTGCAAACGATCCACCGGAACGAATAAGATACCGAACGAACCCTAATTGCGTTTTGCCTTCGCCAATAAATCCAGAATTACAAAAGCTGACCCCCCCAGTCACTAGAGGCGCTGAAAACTTATAGACAGGTTCTCAACACGGCACTTACCTTTCTAAGGGGGGATGTTTTGTGAGTACAACTCCTTTTATTTTTAAGGGTTGTTAAACTATTGTTGTCCTCTCTTTCAGTCAGCACTGGGCCGGAAGGTCGAAAGCGCTCTGCTAACATATTAAAGAATTTTTGCTCGAAATACGTTTTTGTTTGATTTCCTGACTCTTGGACGAGCAACACAGCCATTCACTTCTATTTATTAAAATAAAATGTCCGCCAAGAGGCACACAAATCCTTTGTTTACGTGTCATTCAATGTGTCATCAAAATTTAAAAAAAAAAAATTAGTGCTCATTGCTCATTAGCGTTTTGATACTCAAAACTGTTGTTTTTACTCGTATTTTTATTAATGTTAGAAATAGTGTATTTAAGTAGTCCGCCAACACATCAACAGCAGAGTCAGGAAGATTCAAGATATCCTAACTGAAATAATATTATCTGCTTTCAAATTCGAAGCACATGTATATTTCTTAATTTTTTTTTCGCGTAGGTTGTTACTCTTTTTGTTCATTGGATGCGGATGCCAACCTTTCATTGTAATAAATCTTCCTTGCCTGTTTCATCGTCTTTCTGTAGATGCTCCTGTATCCATTATTTAAAGTAGGTCATAAAAAATATATTATCAATATCAAGCGCAAACTTTCTTGAGAAATGAGGACACCTAAATTTTCTAGAAGCAATTCTTAAACCTTTTGTGATACAAGGCTTTTTCTTTTTCGATTTTAACTTGACTAACGGAAATGCATGGTTAAAAATTTCAATATTCTCACAATGAAATGAATGCAGAGCATTTAGCTTCAGCAAAATCGTTCTCCAATCAAATCTAGAGCAAACTTGTGAAAAAAACAATACAAATCAAAGCACAACGGTGGAGTTGCAACAAATAAATATTTTCACATTTTAAGGGTAGGTCCTCTGGGCGAGGTCCTGGGTGTCCAAGTGAAATGTAGGTAGAGCAATCTTGCCCAAACAATAGGGATTCCGTAATTGGGTAGAAACGGCCAAAAATTGAGACGCACATAATAGAAAATGAGTATTTAATAGACCTATCTCGCATGATTAGAAACAGAGAACTTAA